TAGCATTTTATAGTACAGAGAGATATATGCAATATTGACGATAGTACATGGTTACGATTTGTATACAACCCTATTTTGTAAGCTAAGTTGGTCAAACTTAAAATAACTACAATTTCATGATTAGATGAATTCAATAACTGGTAACTTGGTTAGGTAGATGGGCACAAGTCTGGCACGTGACTTGACCATCGTAAAGTTTATGCAATAACTTTTTTTTAATATAAGACAATCTTATTGTTGGAAACTATGAGTAGTTAAAATTAGGACCGACACTTGAGTGGACTTATCCAAACTCGATTGTTAGGTTCGATTTTATTTTAGTCGAGTCTAACTAACTATGGGTTGGATTGGGTATGAGCCATTTCATTAAACTCGAATCATTTATGAGACAAATTTGAACCTACTGTGATTCAACCCGAATAAGGTCCGATCGATTAAGTTATTAATTAAATAAATTATATATTTATTATTTTATGCTCAACATATATGTAGAGAGGAGTTAGGAGTACATCTGGAATCGGTTCTTTTTGTTTTATATTTCTTCATTTTTGACTTTGATGCATTTTTTTTGTCATATTAACTACTTAACGATTAAACATTTGAAACGTAAAACTTGAATTTTCTTTAGGAGCAGACTAGGGTTTTTATTTTACAATGCGACCATAGTTTTTATTTTATTTTACTCTTCATGTATCCCAGATTTTCCTCTTCGGTTGCGAATTTTTTTTTCTTTTTTGAACACGTTCAACTGTAACATTGTAAAGTATGTAATTGTTCGTATAAGTCCGATATAAACCAAAAACCCGAAAAAATACATGAATCAAGCTTGAATCTATAATAATAGTGCCGATCGTGTATGAACTTAAACCTATAATAATGAATCCCGATGGTGTCTGAGCTTGAGTCAACCTAAGCTCGACTCACATGTTCCGATTGACAGCCCTAGTCAAAATGCAATTAATGAATGAACAAAACAAAGGTCAAAAGAAATGCAGTACACTTTTCATGTCTTGAAAATCCCACATTTTGCATAAACAGTGAATAGAATAATACATCATTCATAAATTTAGTTAAAGCCAAAAGGTTTCCCATTAAAAAAAATCAATGTTCCAAAAGTTATCAGTCTCCGAGGCGGAAGTAGTCCCAAACCTTTACAATTTTAGTGTAAAAATTTTAAAAATCGGTTTTTTGTCTGTGAGGCGGTTTTAGGCGGTCAAACCTTTAAGGCGGGTCTAACTCGGTGGCAAAAATCGATCAATTTTTTTTTTTTTATTAGGAATAAAAGTTGGGATTTTAATTAAAAAATATGAGTTTATGTTTTATTTTGTTTATGTTCACTGTTATTCTTAAAGAACTAATGATGTATGACTCGAATGTTCAAGAATAAATGTAAATTCAACAAAAATTGCCTTTTTATTTATATTTTATAAGGATATGTATATTTATGTATTATGATCTTATTATTATTAAACTTTTATTATGTTATTAGGATATATACATGATGGAGATAGAACTATGTTTAAATATCTTTTTATATATATTTTGAGTATTTATAAATAATATTTGGAAATATGTTATACTAACTTTTAAAAACCGATTTATTTATGATTTATTACCGATTAATAACCGCCGCACCGATTAATCGTGAATCTGCCTGACCGCCTCCAATCCAATTACAACTTTTTACATCCTTGAGAAAAAATTAAAACTTAATCAGTAATTCATGCAAGATGTCTTGAATTTGAAAATTGTTATTTGAGAAATAGTTGTGCAAATTCAATAGAAGTTCTGAATTTAGGATGACACCAACAATATGACAACTAACATGTATATTTCACACACATTTCCACTTGTAAATCAAAATTGGAAAACTAGTTGATTTATTTTTCCAAGTGTAGTAGCATCTACAACCCCTACTCCCTCAAATAAAGATGGGTCCATTGGATATACACCCGCTCATATGGAAAATATATAGGGATTGATCTATCCCTAAAATTCTTCCTTTAAGATACCCCTTGGAGCGGCAAAAGTACTCTTGTGCCCTTAAGTGCAATTTTCGCCCAACTGCATTCAGTATAAAATTCTCCCCTGCATTCAGCATAATGCCCAACTGCATTTAGCTTTTTTGGTGTGCATTTATCATTTTTATAGATTTTTTAAAATAAAAAATATAAATTTTTATTATATTATTATTTTCTATATATACCCTCTTTTGTTTTTGTTTTTCTTTTTTTTTATTAATTTAATTTTTAATTTTTTTAATTTTCTTTTTGTTTTTTTTTTAATTTTTTTGGCTAAATTTACTGTACTGAAATGACAATACATGACTATAGTTTACTACACCTAACTACAGTATACCACGGTCATGTATAGTTATGTGTAAGCATGTAATGTCTTTCTACTCCAAAATTAATCTACACCAACAACAAAATTCACAATTTTAATCTTGATATTATAAATCAACTAGCCAAAAAGAAAAAAGAAAAAAACACAATCACTTGCATATAATCTTCAAAACATGAACACACATAACTATACATTAAAAAACACATAGTATACATATAACTATATGTTACTACACGTGACTATATTATCTACAATTATCTATAGTTATATAAATGGCATAAGTCTGGAGTACTGTAGCATGAATGCAACTTCACATGACACTTCTCTGCATCTCATAATGTTATACAAATCAAAACCTGTGACAAAAAATACAAGTTAAAGAGCAAATGACTATAGTATACTACAAGTTCTATAGTCATGTATAGTTATATGTATCCATGACTATACATGACTACATATATAACTGTATATGACTACATAACTATATATAACTGTATATTCACCTGACCCAAATTGGAATATAATTGTTTCCCATGTAATGAGGAGATTTCCGTCTAGTTTGTTCTTGATGTTTACGACGGTGTTGTAATTAGTTGTGCCATTGTGAATATGGCCTGAGAATTCCCCATTGAGTGCTATTACCTGCAAAAGGAAGTGAATTTGTATAATTATAATATGATGGAAATATTAATTAAATAAATAAAAATGGATTATCAAATAACAAGTAACAAAGAAAAATACAAGTTTGGAAGAACACCAGATATGAGAACTGTATATACAGAACAAATTAATACAAATCAAAATCGAAATCGAAACGGAATAGAATAAAATATGCATAGAATTTACTGCTATAGTTTATCTATAATCAAAATTAAATTTACGAAATTGAGAAGTCACAAATTCACACAAGTCAAAAACAGAATCAAGTTCGATAAATCCTAACTTCACGAATAACCAAAACAAAAACAAAAAAACACATACAAACACATAGTGAACAGATGAAATTGAAAGTTTAAAAAAATGAAGAAATAATTATTTCACCTGTTGAGGAACACCAAGTTTAGTGATGTAAGAGATATCCAATTCAAAGTTGGTTCAGGGGTCGGCTCCAAAACACACACCCAGTAGCAAACCGACGCAAATCAAATACAACAGACGAAAAGCCCCCATTAACGAATTGAGCGCATAAACTTTTATTAATTAAAAAATAACAAAAAAAACCAAATAAGTGTATATTTTTATCAAGGCGGTGGCGAGCTGCGGCGCAAGGCGCACAATGGTGGCGGAGCAGCGGCGAACGTCGGTGACTTAGCAGCAATGCAAGACGGTGGCGGAGCCGCGGTGGGGGATCAGTGGCGAACGGTGCAAGGCGGTGGAGAGAACAGATCTGGCCGCGAGAGTGTTAGAGAGAGAGAGATGAAGAGAGAGGGGGAGTTGTAACCGCTGGGCTAATACGTGTGAGTGGAAGGTTGGGGCTAGGGTTTTATGTATTGAATTAAAATTAAAAGGGTAAAACAAGTACTTCAAGTTATCTAGGGGGTCTTACTAATTAAGATCAGAATTTGGGTTTTTCATTAGGGAGGAAAAATTTGTTAGACCTCCTCATATATATTTTCAAAACTAGGGGTTATCAATCATTTCCCCAACAAAGATTAGCCCCCATTTAAGAATGATTAATTAACCCAAATACCAACTAACAGTACATTATAACCATTGAGTGCAGCCTGATGAATGTTAATAGAAAATCAAGCAAAAACGAGACGCAATAATCAAGAATATCATCTATACTTTTCTTGTCAATTTATGCACAAATATATAGCGAATGTCGAATCTCCTAACACTATTCGTGCAAAATTTGCTTTCTTAAATGAGAAAAGAAAAAAACCGAAACATCAACAACAGAAGCATCAAAGTTGGGAGTGACAAATGATCACCTGTTAATGAACATAAACATAACCTCCTCCTTTGTAGGTCCAGTTAAGCACAAAATAGCAATTTTAGATGGAAAGCAAGAAACTTAACACACCACAAACAAAATACCATGCCAAAGTCTAAGGAAAAACTGTTGGATATATTGCGGAAATATGTGAACATAATTAACAAGGAAATAATCAAGGAGTGCGTATCTCCTAATTCATATTTTACTCTTGTTAATACACGTTGAATTACAAATACAAACTCCAGACCTATTTATACCATTCTAGGCATATGTAGTACATGCATCATATTAAATATATTCATCGTGAATACTATATATACATGTATCTAACAATTCATGTGTTTGTCTATTCATGTATCCTATACATTGTACATGCATTTGAATAATCTATAAAGTGCATTATTTATTTCAACACTCTTGCTTAATGTGCTTTCTTCTTCAGCTCAAAGATTCTTCGAATTTGCAGTCTTCTTCTTCTTCTGGAAATTGACTAGCAAAAAACAAATACTCTTCGTTTTCTTCGTAGTAATTTGCGTAGTGTTTTATTTTTATTCTTTTTTTTAATCGACAATACTTCTCCAAACATCCAAACCTTTTCTTACAGTTTGTGCATTGGGGTTTGCCTTTGTGGTAACAATATTCTTCATGTGATTTGTCATTTTACAAATACTAAATCGGCGATAAATCTCCTTACTGCTCTTGATGGAGGTTTGATCATGATTTACGCCCTTCTTTTTGTGACCACTCGATTTATTCAAGTTGGTTTTGGAATAGAAGACACTTTCCAAATGCTCTTCACTATTGCGATTTATCATTTGCTCATGTGCTTGTAAAGATCCTATGAGTTCGGTGAGGGTTAGAGTTGATAGATCCCTAAATTCTTCAATGGTCGTACTTTTCCATCGAAGTAATCAAGAATTTTTGGACAACTCTTTCCTCTTCAATGGTTTCTCAGTAAGTTCTCATTTGATTGATGAGATCGATCACTCTGGTGCTATATTGCATAACATTCTCAGAATTTTTCAGTTTGAGATTCTCCATCTCCCTTCTCAAATTTTGAAGCTTTATGGTTTTGACTTTGAAACTCCCTTGGAACTCCTATTGCAAGATTTCGAACGCCTGCTTGGACGAAGTTGCTTCCATGATCCTCGGTAAAATGGCATCACTTACTGCTTATTGAAGATAAAATAATGTCATCGCATCATTTTGTTGATTCTTCTTTTCTGCAGCAGAGATTCTTCGCGTCGGTAATAATCCTTTTTTTATTAGATCCCATAGATCCAATAAAAGGAAAAGAATTTTCATTTTGATACTCAAAAAATCATAGTTTTCGCCATCAAATATTGGAAGAGGTTAAGAGATTCTGGAACTTGCCATTGAATCTCATTCTTGACACGTATTCTCTTTGAATTGTTTTTTTATTATCCTTTTTTTAACGCCCCAGTTGAATATGATCAACCGTGCCCTGATACCATGTTGGATATATTGCGAAAATATGTGAACATGTATTGACAAGCGTAAATAAGAAGTAGGAGATACGTACTCCTCGATTATTCCCTTGTTAATCTTGTTCATGTACTTCCACAAAATATATCCAACGTCTTCAATCTTCAATCAATTGAATGCGTGATCAACTGATTCAACTAGACTTTTTTTTTTATAATTATTTTTTGTTTTGAAATGATTTGCTTTCCTTTTATTTTTCTCGATTTCTTTTCGTAGGCAAGGATTTGTATTTTCTTTTTAACGCCGAAGTTGAGTATGATCAACCGGGATCTAATACCAAAATAATATATTTGTGGAAAAATAGTTTGAATTGCTACAACAGAACTCTAAATATTTAATTTATGGAGATTTTTCTTATGTCTTCAATTACATAAGTACATAACCATTATACAGATAATCAAATGAATCTTAAGACTTCTATCTTGATAAATTAACATATAGGAGTCTTAAGAGTCATTTGATTATCTGTATAATGGTTATGTACTTATGTAATTGAAGACTTAAGAAAAATCTTCATAAATAAAATATTTAGAGCTCTGCTGTAGCGCAACTTAAATTATTTTTCCGTAGAGATATCTCTTTTGTTCTAACAAATTGGTATCAAGAGCCTTCTGCGTTCGTATTTGGGTGTTCATAATATACCTTATAGATGGTTTCAAACTCGAAAGAAGGTCAATCAATTTCCTACTCTATTCTTCCAATTTTTGGAGGACAAAATTACGATTTCTGGAAAGTAAAGATGAGGACCTTGCATCGCTGAGAAGGACTATGGAGTATCGTCGAAACAGGACCGGAGGAACCAACTACTGGAGCCGAGAGTTAAAACACGCAAAAACAAAAAGTGGAAGCAGGTTTGATTAAGGATGCTAAAGCCCTTTGAAAAATTCAAAATGGAGCCGTAGACAATATTTTTCCGAGAATCACCAGAGCTGAAACCGCAAAAGAAGCCTGGGTGATTTTGCAAAACAATTTTGAGGGTGACAGCGAAATTTAAACCATCAAGCTTCAAACTTTGCGCATAGAATTTCACAATTTGAAGATGAAGGAATCGAAATGTATTCAAGACTACTTTTCTAGAGTCGTCGATGTCGTAAATCAAATCCACACACTCGGCGAAGCAATGACAGATCAGCAAATTGTTGAAAAGATTTTGAAAAGTTTGCCCGAAAAATACGTTCCATCGTTTCAGCTATTGAAGAGTCAAAGGATCTCACTACTTTGTCAATGGAGCAATTGTTGGGACCTTTAAAGTCTCATGAGCAGAAAAGGTTGAGTCGCTCTAATGAAAAGTCGATTGAAATTCTAACAAAGCTCCCATTTAAAAATAATTTTTTTTCGAAGAGGTAGAATGAGCGAGATGACCAACAAAATAGAGATCAAAGGAGATGGAAAACATCCGAGTCATTCACAAGAGGCGAATCCACCGGCAAAGATCGAAAGCTTTTTTGCAAAATTTGTAACAAAAATAATCATGTTGCATCTGAAAACGATGATGCAAAAAAAGTTGTTCTATTTTTTGCTGGGCGTTCTGATGATAGAAATAGCACCTGGTACATTGATAGTGGGTGCAACAATCATATGACCTCAGATAAGGAATTATTTGTTGATCTTGATTCTTCTTTCACTCTTCAAATCAAAATGGGAGATGCCAATTCTCATAAAGCATCAGGAAAAGGAAACATTTGCATACAAAAAGTATGGGAATTAAATATACTCGCGATGTTTTTCTCATTCCAAATCTTGCTTCAAATTTGTTGAGTGTTGGGCAGCTTATGGTAAATGGCTACATAATTGTATTTAACGAAAGACATTGCACAATTTACTACAAGTAGGGGCGATAAGTTGTTTCGGTTGAGATGAAGCCAAACAAAACTTTTCCTCTTTCCACGAGTGATGTAAATGACGTTGTCTTTAAAATCACTATGCAAGACTCTTGGTTATGGCACAAGATGTTTTGTCACTTGAATTTTAAAGGGTTAAAGCTACTACTAGAGAGAGAAATGGTGAATGTGATGCCAAACATTCAAGTAACGGCCGAGATATGTGAAAAGTGTGTCATGGATAAGCTACATCGGAATCCATTTCCCCGTCAAATCACATGGAAAGCAAAGGCACCGCTGGAAATCATACATACTGATATTTGTGGCAAAATGTCAATTCCTTCCTTAAATGGCCACTAGTATTTTCTCACGTTTAAGGACGATTATTCAAGAATAACGTGGGTTTATTTTTTGAACGAAAAATCGAAACCTTCATGGTTGTCAAGCAATTCAAAGCTTTGATAGAAAAACAACGTGGCGAATATACCTCTAAGGAGTTCGTCGAATATTGCAAAAATGAAGGTATTTGGAAGCAATTGACAGCATGTTACAGTCCCCAGCAAAACGGGATAACCGAAAAGAAGAATCGGACAATTGTGGAAATGACAATATCCATGATGAACGAGAAAGGGCTGCCAAAGAGATTTTGGGCGGAGTTTGTGAATACAGCCGTGTATAGTCGAAAATATATCCAACATGGTATGAACCAGCGAAAACACCATGCCAAAAACACGTATTTTCAATCAAAGTCTTTGTTATAAAATTCACCTAATAATTCCCATTGTTTTCCAACTTCACGTTGACTATTGGATTGTCATCCACCAAGCTCTCAGTCCTACAAAAAGAAAGAAGAAAAAAAACATAATTAGTCACAGCTTGAATAACACGTATTGTCAATTAAATATTATAAATATACACATTTACTCATTGTAAACATAATTCTCGTAGTGGTGCACGAAGTAAAAACCCGACCTAAGATACGGTTCATGTGAACCGGGCCAAATGTGCAGCTATCATAACAATCTGTTACAAAGAAACCAAACTAACATATATTCATCAATTTCTCTTGCGAATAAAATAATACTTACATTGCGTTCACGGTTCTCATTAGAAGAATAATCAGTCACAGCTTGAACAACATGTATTGTCAATTAAATATTATAAATATACACATTTACCCATTGTAAACATAATTCTCGTAGTGTTGCACGAAGTCAATAACCCGTCCTAAGATTGAACCGGGCCAAATGTGCAGCTATCTTAACAATCTGTTACGAAGAAACCAATCTAACATATATTCCTAAATTTCTATTGCTAATAAAATAATACTTACATTGCGTTCACGGTTCTCATTAGAAGAATAATCAGTCAAAGCTTGAACAACACGTATTGTCAATTAAATATTATAAATATACACATTTACCCATTGTAAACATAATTCTCGTAGTGGTGCACGAAGTAAATAACTCGTCCTAAGATACGGTTCATGTGAACTGGGCCAAATGTGCAGCTATCTTAACAATCTGTTACAAAGAAACCAAACTAACATATATTCATCAATTTCTATTGCGAATAAAATAATACTTACATTGCGTTCACGGTTCTCATTAGAAGATTGAACCCAACATTCTCCTTCTGCCAACACACTATTTGCTACACGAGTACCCTCGGTGGCAAATATTTCTGTTACTATTTGCTACAAGAAGTAAATAGCCCATCCTAAGATACGGTTCATGTGAATCGGGCCAAATGTGCAGCTATCGTAACAATCTGTTACAAAGAAACCAAATTAACATATATTCATCAATTTCTATTGCGAATAAAATAATATTTACATTGCGTTCACGGTTCTCGTTAGAAGATTGAACCCAACATTCACCCTCTAACAGCACACTATTTGCTACACGAGTACCCCGGTGGCAAATATTTCTCTTACAATGTGTTTAATAGGGTTTTGTGGCGTCTGTCAACAGTTTCCAGTATCATATCCTTCACTCGGATATTCATACACATAGCCATCCACAATAGAAGTTATAAAATAAAAAATAACATTTTTTGCATTACAGGGGAAAACTCTTCGTAACATAGGCATGCATCTTCAATGAGGATTAAAACTTAATACACAATCCTATTTTTTAGAGATTTACATTATATGTAGGAAATTTAGTTAGAATTTAATCCTTAATATTGAAACATAATCGAATCTTTTCGATTCATTGAATTAATTGTCATGCGTGCCCCACAACTAGAGAGAGCCTAATATCTATTCTATTGACCAATATAGACACATTAAAAAATAATCATTATTCTCATTCCCCCAAAATATAATTTGAAGAAAGATATATTATCAGAAAATCATAGAGAGATGCAAATATAAGATTGATCCAAAGTCGGAACATATGCCATAATCCTAATATCATGTTCTTCACATTGCATTTATGTATGGACAACTCTGCATAATCTAAGCATCTTCTATTCCAATTAGGATTAAAACCTTATACACAATCCTAATTTTCTGAGGTTTATTTAATATGTAGGAAATTTAGTTAGACTTTGATCCCTAATATTACAGAATCCTAATCAAATATTTTAGATTCATTAAATTAATTGTCATATTTGCCACCACATTAAAAACAAGATGCCTAATATCTAGTCTACAAACCATTATAGACATACAGATATAATCGCTATTCTCGTTTCTACAAAAATCAATTAGTTTTTTGGGTATTGCCCTAAATTATAAGAAATATCACGATTCATTGTTGCGCTTAAAATTGTTTCAACTTAAATCCAAAAAACTAAGTGAATTGTATCTCACAAGCATATGATCTATAGCAACTCCAAAATCTCATAGGAGAATACAACATAACACAATTTGATAACAACTATTATGAACAGGCAAACAAATAATAATCATTGTCAATCCTCCAAAATTCAATTCGTTTCCGGTGGTATTGTCCTAAATTATAAAATTCTCTTAATATAAAATAATTTATAATATTTCCTGAATTACCTTGAGTTTGGAAACGGTATCTTCCGGAAGACAACCGTCGGACCCAGGGGGACGGTGAAACGCAGTACCTCCCTCTCTGTCGTATTGTAGCTGAAAATGAGATCTCCATGAAAAAAAAAATTGTTGTATATGTTTCGAGGTGTTTCTGTTCCTTGGATAAAACCTTCAATATAGCTATGTAATTTTCAATTTCGATGTCAGAAGAAGACAGAAAGAGGAATTTGTCACAATTTCGATAGAAGAAGGGAAATAGGGATTTGTCTCAAATGATATATTCGTAAATCATTTTTTTTCTTTACTTTTTTTAAAAAATGTAATAGAAAATCAGATTTAACTGCGCTCGAATTGAGAGGGGGAATTTCATTGGAGAGCGAGGGATTTAGTTGCGCTCGAAAATGGAGAGAGTTGGAACAAAAGCAGACTTTGAGAGCAACCATTGATTTGCTACTGTTGCTCGTGTCTGGATAATACAGGAGAGCAGCCATCGATTGTCTCGCGCTGTCGGCAGCTGCGTAGGAGCTTTTGAGAGAGACGGATGCAGAGTTGTGGAGAGGTCGGAAGAAGTGGCGGCGGCCGATAGTTAACAATTGTGGGAAAAAATGAAGAATACAAGAAAATGGAAAACGAACAGCAAGCACCTCAATCGTGCATCTGCGAAAAGGAAAGAAAAGAAAATGGAGAGATGATTGGTGGAAATTGACGGAACGTTGTTCCAGAATTAAAAGTGGCAAAAAAAAAAGCTGAAAAAATAGGGTGGCCAAGAATGGGGGCCATGAATATATATATATATATATATATATATATATATATATATATATATATATATATATATATCCGACAATTGAGCGGGGCCTACCCGAAGCCTGATAGCTCGGCCCGATTTTTTTTGAGGCCGAACCCGATTTATTTTGAGCCGGGCCGAGTTTGAGCCGTTTCCTTTGACTTGATTAAAGTATGAGCCGAGTTTGAGCTTTCCCTGGGTCAGCCCGAATAAAGCCCGGCTAAAATAATATATATATATATATATATATATATATATATATATATGTATGGATATATATATATATATCCTGAATCAAGGTTTTTGAAAAGATAGAGGACCTTTAAAATTGCTTTTAGGTATTTTATTTTAAGTATGCCTTTTTTCATATAATTTATAAAGGGTTAAATATTTGCCATAATAACCCTTATTTGTTTTTTTGAACCGTAGACCATAGGTTTTTTTTTTTTTTTTTTTTTTTTTTTCTTATTTTGATTTTCAATGAATATTTTAGATTTTTCTCTTAGAATGCGAAGTTTTTTTTTCTTTCACACGTCTGACTGCAAAGTTGTAAAATATGTAATTTATTTATTCCCGATATAAGCCCGATATAAACCCGAAACTCGAAAAAATACTTGACCCGAGTTTGAGCCTATAGGCATGAGGCCGATGGTATATGAGCTTGAACCGACCCAGGCTCCGGTCACACGGCCTGATTGCCAGCCATATATATATATATATATATATATACTACACGTTCTAGAACTAATAACCATCTTCCGGATAACCTAGCCTGCTCCGTCCCTCGTAGACACGGCCACGGGCCGGGTTTGACCCAGACCCGGCCCCGACCCGTGGACTGCCCCGCCCCGCCCCGTTGACCGTCAACCCGGACCCGGACCCGCCCATACACGGGTCGGTTTCGGGTCCCCAGTTTCAAGACCCGAGACCCGATGGATCCACCCGGCGGGACCACCCGTGGGACCCGACCCGGGAACCGAGTATTAATACAGCTTTATTATTCTTAGAACTGATAACCATCTTTCGGATAACCTAGTCTGCTCCATCCCTCGTAGACACGGCCACGGACCGGGTTTGACCCGGACCCAGCCCCGACCCGTGGACTGCCCCGCCCCGCCCCGTTGACCCGGACCCGCCCATACACGGGTCGTTTCGGATCCCCAATTTCAAGACCCGAGACCCGATGAATCCACCCGGCGGGAGCACCCGTGGGACCCGACCCGAGGGCCCGACCCGGGAACCGAGTATTAATACAGCTTTATTATTCAAAAATGGGTCGGGGGATTCAAACTCGGGGCAAATTGGAAAGATTAGGCATATCTTTCCACTTGGCCAAACACAACATTAGATAATATTTAGGCAATAAATATATATAATATAAACTCCGGTAAAATGATTTAATTGGCATGTAATAAATTATTAATTTTCATATTAATTATTAGTAAATAAGTTTAATTACATTATTAGCAAATGCAAACTTTAAATATATATATATATATATATATATATTGTGTAAAAATCGAATGAAAAATTAAATAATATGCCTATTTAAAAAAAATAGATTATAACTCATTTCAATGAATTTAAATCGATTAACCTCAATTGTTGACAAGAACTTACTAATATTATTGATTTTTTTATCATAAGATAATTATTTAAAAATATAAATGATATTTATTTTAACAAAAAATAGATTATATCTCAATTCAATTAATTTTCTTACTTTAAAAATAATATTATATATGACTACTATATTCAAAAAATTATGATATAATTTCTCTTTTAATAATTGGTTTAATTTTAAAAATCGTAAGAATTAAATTGTAGATCATATGATTTAATCTTTTTTTTACATATACATTTTATTAATATTAGAATTGAATCGTAAGATTTAAATGGATTAAGCTCAAGTTCTTTCAATTTTTTTTTTAATTTTTTTATTATATTATATTTATTAATAATTTAATTAAAATTCTTTAATAATTATGAATATGATAATTAATAATCCATTAAACATCATTTTTATAATCATTTTACACTATCAGTTATTGTTATATATATTTGTTGCAAGTAAATTCACAAACAATTGCCTTGTCTCACTGGTTTGGATTGGCATATACATGTGAAGGGAACTAGTGTTCGAACCCCATTTCAAGGATAAATCCGGTTCGGACCCGGACCCAAGTGGACCCGCACCCGCCTCCCTGCGGATCGGTTTCGGGTCCTCCAGAACTCGGACCTTGACCCGGTGGGTCCGACCCGCCCCGGGGCCGGGTCTAGTCCCTCGGGACCAACAAAGGGTAGCGCAGGAATATCCACCTCTTGTCCATCGGCCTGATCTTAGGCCCTGACTAATATATAAACTCCGGCTTGTCAAAGGAGTCTTGATTTTTTTTTTTAAATTGTAATAATGTGTTGTATATTGTTGTATTTTAATGTTGTTATTAAAAATATGAACTAAATTCTATATTTTTTCATCAATTTAATTAAAATTTGTCCGTTCCGGCCGTGAGGTTACTACAGACCTAGAACGGTAGTGTCTGCAACAATATACCGCACCGTTCGGCGAACCATGATTATGACCATACATTGGCCCAAAACAAAATACACCAAAAAATTTAATGATAACATTTTCATTTTTTAGTGTAACCTTTATATTTAAAAGAAAAGTTTTGCCTGAAACCCTAATCTTATTTTTGTGAATATTTATAACCCTAGGGGCATTTATGTTGTTTTATTTTTGTCGTTTTTTTCTGCTATTTTTTTTGGGTTTTTCATCGATACGATCAAAAGTAAATTGAATAAGAAACTTGTACGAGTGTGAATAACTGAAAACACGATCTGCGTAACCAACTTCAACACACCATCTCCTTTCAACTTCTATTTGATTTATATTTAAGACATTTTACACATATTATTATTATCTTTTGCGTGTTCACACGTTTCAATCCTCTTTTGCTTCTCCCTATTTTACTCATATTCCGCCGCCTCACCTATTTCTTCTCTACCCTATATTTTCTTTTTTGTTTGTTGGAAAAGCATTCAATATTTTTTTTTCCTTAATTTTGTTTTTGCTTATGACATTCTTGGATCCAAGTCTTATGATTATTTGCTTTTTTGTTTTGGTTATTATTAACAGTATAATATTTTGGTATTGTTGTTGAAGCTGGTGCAATTTCAATACTTGTGTCTTTTGATGTCTCTCCATCGGCCATAGCCCATAGGTAACTGATATGCTTAATTGGCCCAGCCCAATGGGCCTACAAATTATTTACCTACTGGGCCACGAGTCCAATATCGAAGACCACTATCACCGAGGCCCAATCACCTTCAAGCAAGGTTTGGGCCCGACAATCTCAACTAAGCTATAAATACACATTTGAACTCATTCCATAAGGTACGTCCAATTAACTGAGCAATACTACAATACGTATTCTCTGGACTATTTCTATGATCAGCACGTCTGATTTGAGCGTCGGAGGGGTTTCCGCCGGATCAACCCCCGGCGTAGTTCACGTGTGTTCATTTCGCAGGTACCTCAGGATCATCAAGTTGTCAAGCTACTGATCTGCTTTGCTCTCCCATCTCGTTTTCTACACTACCCCAGGTGATCTAAGTAATTAGCATCATCATTTTGGCGCCGTCTATGGGAACGATGCAAACCAGATCACGTAGCCAACAAGATCCTCCTGAGGCGTCAGCTCAGAGAAAAAATAACACAGTTAATCAAGATCCTCCTGAGGCGTCAGCTCGGAGAAAAAATGACACAGCTAATCAAGATCCTCCTGAGGCGTCAGCTCGGAGAAAAAATAACACAGCTAATCAAGATCCTCCTGAGGCGTCAGCTCGGAGAGAAAATGACACAGCTAATCAAAATCCTTCTGAGGCGTCAGCTCGGAGAGAAAATGACACAGCTAATAACCTCCCAGTCCGTGGAGGATCTGGCATGCCACCTCCTCCACGTGCCGCGGAGCCACCTCCTCAACATGCCGCGGAGCCACTTCCTCCACGTGTCGCGGAGCCAGCTCCTCCACGTGTTGCAGATCCACCTCGCGAGGTTCAGGTGATCCCCCCTCGGGACCCACCACTCGCCGATCCACCACTCCCTGCTCCTCGAATGGTTCAAATAACCGAGGATGCGCTTCAACGCATGATAGCAGAAGCTTCAACTCGTGCTGCCAGAGGCCGTGTCCCAATATATTGCCACGATGGGAGCAAATGCTCCCAACGCGATACCAGCACCTGCTCCACATGTGGGGCCACCTATGGCACCACCGCCAAAATATTTCGCTCGCCAAGGGTTATCGACTCCCTGGGGGCTTACATATGCCCCCAAAATATTTCGCTCGCCAAGGGTTATCGATTCCCTGGGGGCCTACATCTGCCCCCAAAATATTTCGCTCGCCAAGGGTTATCGACTCCCTGGGGACTTACCTCTGCCCCCAAAATATCTCGCTCGCCAAGGGTTATCGACTCCTTGGAGATATACAGTGCCCCCAAAACATTTCGC